GAAAGCAACTGCATGGCTCAAGAGAAAAAGGAATTTCATGTTGCAACCGAGCTGATCTACCAACTGCTGGAATGGGCAGCCCCGATCTCTGCCCAGCCAATGATTTCTTGCACTGACACCAACGGTGCAGCTAAACTGACATCAACTACACCACCAGTCACCTGATCCTCTGATTTCAGTGCAACGCCAAACCCAGCCTTGTGCTGCAAAGTGCTTTGATCTCCAAGATCAGCAGCAAAGCCCCACCGGATCAGTCCAACGGCGCACGCATCCCGCTGCTCCCCGCTTCATCCTCAGCAGTGGGAACAGGAGAGGTTGTGCAACAGACACCGCTCCAGCGAACGCTGCCACGTTATTTCCAGAGAGCACAAAGAAGGCAATCAAGAGGTTTGTCAGGATAAAGGGCCGTTGTTAGGGTTCAACATTAAATGTAGGGCTCATTCCTGCCACATGTCTCGCTTGCTCAATTTAAGCCTGATGGGAGGTGGAAGAAAACATTTCCCCTGGCGGAAGAAATCGCCAGTCAAAGTGAGGGCTAACGTACAGTTTAACATCTTCCCTTCGAAAACAACTGAGCGGCGTCAGGAATCAGCTCTTCTCCCCACTTAGATCTCTCTCTGAAACGGAGTGCTGAGATTATATAGGACACTGTGCCAGATATAGGCTATGGAGAGGACTCAGTAATTGACACTATTTTTATACCTTTTATGCAAATTGCAACCATCAGCCTACAAATCACCAGTTTAAGCAGCTGAGCGGGGTGCTAAATAACTTGTTTAAGCCCGAGCGTGATGCACCCTGGTCTGGACTACTTAATCCAGCTGTGGCATTGCCTTGGTAACACCCTCCCGCACGCTTCCACTGCTATCTCGCCAGTCCTCTGAGCCAGACAGATCCAGTCCCCGAAGGATAATCATCAGATAGCGACGCTTGCTGCAAAGCAGCTTGCAGCAGCAAGCAAAGAGGGCAAACCGGCAGAGACGACAGCGAGCGATGCTCGCCGAGGGCTATCGCCGGTGAAAATTTAAGCTCATTACCGAGTCAGTGCTTCTGCCAAGGGCTTGGGACTGCAAGGGGCAGGTTTGGGCTGTGCTAAGGCACAGACTGCACACAGAGCGTCCCACAACGCCAGCACAGACAGCGTTTCAGGGAAGCTGGGTCTAATAGATGCTATTCTGTCACCAATTCTGCTGCTCCCCTAAGAAACATCAGGTTTCTGATGCCTCTTCTGTGCTGTTTCCTCCTAATTCTGCCCTTGAAACAAAAGCCTGGAGAGACTCAGACTTGCAGGAAGTTAACCCAGAAATTATGACTTGTCTCCTTTCTCAGCCCCTGGACAACACTCTCTCCTTTACCCTTCCACGGACCTTTTTTCTGCCTTTTTTTGGTTGTTATTTAGGTTCTTCCTGAAAGCGAAGCTATTTAGCCCCAGGCTGATCCACACATACACCTGATCATGCCTGAACCAACTATGACTTTGAGGTAGCAACTAACACAGCACGACATTGGTACCTAAAAGCTTCAACCTTGCACCAGGGTCTCCTCGAACCTTGCCCAGACGGAATGAAAGCGCAGCCCCGTCACCCTTCAGCAATCCCAACACTTCCCACTGGTGCCCCTGCACTGGGCTACAGCTGTCTCCAGCTGTATTTATTCCGTATTCTTTTACCACACCTCTCCCTCACCCATTTTTCCTGTTAGTTCAGCCGTTGATATACCCTCTGCCTCTCTCCTCCCAGGCAGAAGGAGGGCAGAGCACTTGGCGCAAATGCCTGCCAGGATGTCAGAAACCTATGTGCACGATGCAGAGCCGGGAAACAATGAAAACCCCTCAACAAGAGCAAAGCAAACTTTCCCTCCGGTTACCTTGGAATCTGGCTTTATTCTTCTGTTTCTTTTACAGGGTAAGCATTAAGTCTATTAAAACAAAATCAGATGCAGTAGCTTGTACTGGCTTTTGTTTTACCAACATGGAGTTATTAAATTGAAGGGCTCTTTTTGGTACAGATCTGCCTGTCCAGCAAGCCCAGATTTACCATCTCAATATTGAAGGCTGCTCAAAGATTCAAAGGAGTAATGCAGGAATAAAATCAAGACAGCGACGTACATTTTATCCTAACTCGTTCATTTCTACCCAAGTCATGACGAGAAGAAAGGGTAAAACCCCCAGATCTCTGCGAGGGCTGTCTCTTTTCTGGCAAACCAGAGCCGAGGGAGGAAAAAAGCCAGAAACCTGCTTGCCTGTTGTATTTGTGAAATCAGCAGATCGAAGCAACATTTGTGAACAAATATTTTATCACCTGAAGAAAGATGCACGGAGAAATGAGTCGTTTCAGCTTTCTTTAAACAACTTAACTCCTGCAAGCTTGCAGTCAGAAATTTGTGCCCACATTTTAAATGGCTTTCTCGCAGCGGCAGCTGTGAGCGCTCGGTGGTTTCGCCCAAGTATCCATGACATGATCTCAGTTGTCATAGAAACAAGTCAGCTGTCTCCCTGCCAAAAATTTTCTGCCCAATACAGAGATAGAGTGAAGCATTCAACACTGGTAGATTAAATTAGTTCAAGAAATCCCATTATTTGTGCACCTTTCTTGAAGCAAGGCGCTGCTTTATTTAGACTTCCTGCCAGATTTTAACAAAAAGCTCTGATGGAAAATGCTAATACACTGCTAAAAAGAAAAATACAGTTGCTTTCTCAGGCAATAAAATTGACAGCTGGAACAACAGGGACCAACTGTACTACAGCCTCTACTATTCTCACCTCTGAGCACATTTGCAGGATCAAGGCCAACGTAA